CTCACCCCCTTTGGACCGGTGCGGCTGATCCCATGCCTTCTGGATCGCCTGCAGTTTTCATCCCTGAAGGTGATTCTGATGGCCCTGGAGTGCACCAGCGCGTCCTGGTTTCCCTGTCTCCAGCGGCTGCTGGCCGGGCAGCCATGGAAACTCCCCTGGAGGGGGGACGCTCTCTCTCAGGCGGGGGGTGCGATCAGGAGCTACCCGCTCCTCGGCCAGCCTCTCTGGGTCTGGCCGCTGAGAGGCGACGCCTGGAGGGCTTAGGTCTCTCCCGTGAGGTGGTTTGCACCATCCAGGAGTCAAGAGCCGCCTCCACTCAGTCCTCTTACACTTAGAGGAGTAAGAGGACTGAGTGGAGGGCTGCGCCTATACTCATAGAATCCGGGTTACAATACGTAACCCCCGTTCCCTCCGTCCCTGTCCAAAATGTGAATTTGTGTGAATTTACCAGGGAAAAAAATCACACTAACAACAAAGGACTTTTGTTGCATGGCATCACCCTCTCTCTCTCTGCACATTTCCTGTCTACATCTCTCTATGCTGTCAGATAAAAAAAATGGCGTAATGGCATAAACACATTCTGAAATAATAGATTTTGTACCCCATGAAAGAATAAAATGGAATTATAGTAGCTTCGCCCTACTTAATGCCTTGTGCAGATTAGACGACTTTCAGCGTCGGACGCACTACACAACTTGGTGTCTTGTGATGGGAGTCTTGAAGTCGCTGTGGCGTTCACACTACATCACTGATTGGTGACAGGGGGTCACACACTCAGGGCTTAAAGTTCTCCGGCGCTGTGCCAGAATTCCACCTGTTTGCTAATCTCTGTCGGCAGAGACGGAGCAGGTAGAACCAGAGTACTAGTAGGGCTGGGCAATAAAATTATAATGATAATTATTGCAATATAATTTTCCTCAATAACAATATAATAAATGTTTAATAGTTTGATTAAATTCATTTGAATCACGAACAAATCAGCACTTTACTTGTTGAGGAAATGGGGACAGAAGAGAGGGATGAGCAAGAGGATATGCTGCGTGAATGCGGTACGGCGCTCTGCAATAAAATACCATTTTAAATAGGCCTAATAAAAAAAAAAATCGAAAATCAATATGTGGTGGTCAGCGTTGATATTGTGGCGGGCCGCCACAAATAAATGAACGTATGGGAAATACTGGATCCACTGTTTGGCAAATAATAATTAATCCATCTGGTTTCTTCAACTTTCACTCAGGAGCAAAAATCTGCCTTATAATGATTTGACATTTATCATAAGAATCATCGATATTGAATGATGTGAAACGTTTTATTGTGATAACATTTTCAGCCATATTGCCCAGCAATAAGTACCAGCACCTATATTTTCCACTTCAAGCACTGATTATAGGTGGTGGCAGAAAATGTTACCAGAATGCAGGAAATGAAGTGTTTAATGCTCAAAATTTTTAGGGGGAGTACCCCCAGAAACCCTTCATATATTTTCACATTGAATCAAACCAGTGCACAATTATCTTGTCTTTTTCTTGTAATCCCAGAATTGTGTTTCTTCATGTTTCCTGAGCCAAGTGTATATCAGAACCCTAATCTGAGTCCCTGTGTCCCCGTCAGTTTTCAACACAAAGTTATGCTCTTGCCCCCTACCCTCCATCTTTTGGAAACCCCGAACACATTTCAGGCACAGAAAAATTTCTTGCTTTAAGCCCTGCACACTACGCGAGCTGACTCCTGTCAACTGATGCTGGTCTCCAAACCACGTTTTGTTAAGAAAACACACGTGAAATGTGAAACGGGTAATGACGCGAACCTACACAAGAAACAGCTGTTGTTTGTTATTATAAAGATAGCAATTATAAAGACAAAGAAAACGGGTGAAAGAATGGATTAGCACATGCAGGTAGCAGGGATCGTTTGAGCTACAGAGAGAGCGTCTCAGGTTACGTATGTAACCCTTGTTCCCCGAGAAGGGGAACAAGACACTGCGTCGGTGACGACACTATGCGAACGCCCCTGGGCGTGGCAGGGCTGAACTATGAATGAAACTACTCCAATCCTATTGGTGTTACTAGAATGGTAGTGTGTGACGGCGTAACCGGAGGGGGGATATAAGCACGCCGGCACATAGGACACATTAGCCCTTTCTATGAGGCAAGGCACTCCAGGCGGGGTGAGTAGTGGTGGACCGACGCAGTGTCTCGTTCCCCTTCTCGGCGAGCGCAGACCCCCCTGGTGATTCAAATAGGCCACCACCGCCGTATTGTCGGTCCTGACAAGGACATGGCGACCGCGGAGAGCGGGCAGAAAACTCCTCAGAGTCCTGAAACCGCCAACATTTCCAGGCAATTTATGTGCCAAGAGAAATGATGCTCCTCCCAGGAGCCTCTCGCGAAGCGGTCGTCCATGACCGCGCCCCATCCCGTGAGTGAGGCGTCTGTTGAAATAATTGTTCAGCGACAGATTGCTACCAACACAGGACCTTGGGACAGGAACCAAGGCTTCCTCCATACAGACAGGGAACGAAGGCATCCGCTCGTAACCCGTATCAGACGGAGTCGATTTCCCCTCAGGGAGAATCCCTTGGATTTTAGCCACCACTGCAGGGCTCTCATGTGCAGTAGTCCGGAAGGTATTATACTGGACGCTGCTGCCAGAAGACCCAACACCCTCTGAAAGTGTTTTACAGTGATGGCGTGGCCTAACTGCACTCTGGTCACTGAGGATAAAATGGACTCGATGCGTGCGGGAGACAGGTGGGCCTGCATCGTCGTTGTACCCCACACCACCCCTAGGAACGCAGTCTGTTGGGCGGGTGTCAGCACGCTCTTCTTCGCGTTGAGCCGCAGCCCCAAACGCTGAAGGTGGGCGAGGACGACATCTCGATGCCGAACCGCTAACTCTCGAGACTGGGCCAGGACGAGCCAGTCGTCGATGTAGTTCAGTATGCGGATGCCCTGGAGCCTCAACGGAGCCAGAGCTGCATCCATGCATTTGGTGAACGTGCGGGGAGATAGTGTTAGGCCGAACGGAAGAACCCGATACTGGTAAGCCGTGCCAAACCTCAGGAACTTCCTGTGCGGAGGACCCACGGGGAAATGTTCGCGAGGCTTCGCCAAGCTTCCGCAAACTTCGCCAAGGGGACCTCTTCCCCCGGGCCTGCCAAGACTGAATGACGGTCCTCAGATCCGTCTTCCCGGGGGGCTATGGGCGAGAGCGCCGTCTTGCGTCCCAGCTTGGTTGAGGGGGATCCCGCGAAGCGACGCTCTGCTTCTGGCAGTGGCGGTAGGTGCTGGATGAAGGCTGCGTCCGCCTTTCCTGAGCCATCGTGGTCCTGGAGTCTGACCGGCGGGGGAGATATCGCTCAAATGCCTCTCCCTAAGTTTTGGCGTGCTGGAACCTGTTGACGACAGCATCCACTACTTTGCCAAACAGGCCAGAAGGCGAGAGGGGCGCATCCAGGAGAAAAGCCCTCTCCTTCCCCTGGATACCTGATAGGTTGAGCCACAGATGGCGCTATGTAGCCACCAAAGCCACCATGGATCGGCCAATGGAACGGGCCGTTTCCTTGGTTACACGGAGAGCCAAGTCCGTCGCTCTACGGAGCTCCGTCACAGTCCCGAAGGAGATCGGCCTGGTATGCCTGCAAAACAGCCATCGTATGTAGGCTGGCACCAGCTCGACCCGCTGCCATGTAGGCCTTGCCTTGGTGGGGAGTGCCGGCGTCCGGAGGGATGAGGCGAGGTTGGGAGAGAGGTAGCTAGCCAGTGCCTCCTCCACTCGTGGCATCGCTCCGTAGCCGTGCTGTCTGATTCCCGATCGGGGACGAGGGGAGGAGGATTCTGCGGACGAGGACCGGAAAAAGGCCTCAGCCGTTCCGGCACCCTTGGCGATCTCGCGTTGTGATCCCCAGGATCGGAGCCGCCGCGACGCCTCAGCGACCGCAGGGCCTGTGCCACGAGGGGAGCGCATCCGACCATCCTCTAGGAAGAGAGCCGCTCGAGACCTCATCACCCTCAGGAGCAGGGCCTCGCAATGGTCGCAGGCAGCCCCCCAGGCATGAGACGCACATCCCATGGGTATCACCTTCTGTGATGAAACGGTCACAAGGGAAGACACACTGTCGGAATCGCTTTGACATGATCTGCTGCTTCGTCTCGATGTCAGGTAGGAAAATGGAGCTTCCAAACATAGCCAGAGTGCCTGCTGAATAGAAAGAAGCTAATGTGTCCTATGTGCCGGCGTGCTTATATACCCCCTCCGGTTACGCCGTCACACACTACCGTTCTAGTAACACCAATAGGATTGGAGTAGTTTCATTCATAGTTCAGCCCTGCCACGCCCAGGGGCGTTCCCATAGTGTCGTCACCGACGCAGTTCGAGTTCCCTCGAAGGGGAACTGGAGGTAAGTAAAAAGTGTTTTGCAGTGAAAAAGTAGCTGCCTGCTCTGCCTGCTGGCTGGATGTGGATGTAGAGTCGGCCGACTCTTCCAGATATTTGGCATGCTAGATATCTGGCAGATGTCGGCGATGTGTCAGAAATGTGTCGAGGAGCCGTTTTGATGCGTCCTTGTGTAGTTTACAAATAATGACTGGCAACGATTGATCGACCACTGATTTACCCCCGATCACAGCCTGATGGTCGCCAAGTTCACCGTGCGGCAAATCGGGCTAAAAATCGTGTAGTGTGAACTAGGCTTAAGAGGCCTCTGTACATCTGTATACAATTAGATGCAAATTTGTTTAAGTTGAATGCATTTGAAGGTGTTTCTTAATTAAGTGTTGTCTGTTGGTTCTTTTTAATTGCCTTGCAGCTCATGTATCAGAGGCTTTTTCTTATTCTTTTTCCACACAAAACAGACTGCCTGAGATTATTTTTTGGATCACTGCACTCCTTTGCAGTGCTTTTTTCTTCTCTGCTTGTAATATCTAAAGTCATATCCCATTTGCCTAAGGCACAGAGATATATGACTCCCATGGAAATATAACTGAACACATATACATAGTTTATTTCTTTATTCGGTTACAAAAAGCATGATGACTTCCTTCCAGGACACTTTGGTTAGAAAAAAAAGGTTATTTCTCAAAAATCTGATAATAGTTGTATTCTTTTACATTTTTCTTTTAACTGTGAACCTATTTATTGACCATCATTTTAACTTTAAAATGCAGTAACACATTTTCCGTAGTTAAAAAAATACCCAACAATAATGATGTTTCTGGGGAACAAACGGTTAGATTCCAGTAGTAAAATACTGTGAAAAGTAAAGCGACAAAGAAATATTCAAATGGTGTTAAATTTCAAGCACTTAAAAGACACCAACAGGAAATCCTTTTTGAAACTGCAACAAAATTAAATGAAATTAACTCTTTAAACAACATTAGCGTCTACAGATTTTTTTATTATTTTGTTTACACTTTTTAAAGTGTAAAACACTTTCCTGGCACCCCAACTCTCTTTTATAATACAAACATTGAGTGTTTTTTTTGTTTTGTTTTTTACAAATCTGTTATGGCATATAAAACATCTTTCCGAAGGTAAAACCTCCACTGAAGAGTGCTGTGCTGTGTCCTAATTAATACAACATCAGCAAAAGAAGACGCAGAGATGAGGGAAAAAAGGAAAAGTACTCACAGCGGTAGGGAACTAATTCAGGTACACAGAGGCATGATTGGGAGGAGAATAAACATTTTCACAGGGGAAGAGAAAAGCCTTTTATATACATAATAGGTGGAGATATGTATGATTTCAGTAAACTCTGACTGCCCACTTTTCTTGCTTGTATGACTATGTCGAGAAGGAGAGAGGTCATACAGTAGATTTGGTACCATATTTTTTAAAGCAGAAATTCAGAGGAGAAGAAAAATAATACACGACAAGCTGTGGAAGCAGAGGATGAGTGCTGCTTTTGTACAGGCCTCTGCTGGGAAATGAGACGTCAGCTAGAGTGTGCGGTACATAATCTAAAGCCGACCTCTGGCATCCGACAGCAGTGAAAAATCCCACTTCTAGCAACAACCTTCCAGTCACCTTAAAAGTAAAATTACACCTTTGGACACTGTTGGACTCTCAGATATCAACCATGTGTGATGATCAGTGCATTTCAGGACTGTGATGAATTATTGTAATTTCCTCTTTTCCTATATTTTTATTTGATAATTTCTGGTAATCCAGGTGGCTGGGATAGTTGTGCTCTGCAGTAGATATATTTGTGTAGGTGAAGAGAGGTAAAGTGATAGATTGGTGAGAGGAAAAGATGTTTGTGTTGGAAGAAGGCACAAAATGTACCCTTAACATAGCTTCTGGCTGTGATGCGTGAAAAAACTGTTTCTAATTTCTCTCGAGCTTTGTCAGTTTTCACCACTAAATCTGTTCTGTTTAAAGGCTGGCGTCTGCATTTTTCTTATTGTCAAGAAATCCCAAGAAAAGATCAAAACCAACAATGACTTGATCTCACAAAACAAGTATTTCCTGTGTAGTCAAGGCCTGATATACTGTAACATATTACTTTGCTTAACAGTTAGAAATCAATGAGTTGTGTCATTGCACTGGCTCACATTTTCCTTCATTACCATGTATTGTCACTTGCGCATTAATCCACTATTGAAAATAGTCCCCAAAAAATGCAATATTTACTCCTGTTTGAGTAACATTTTTGAAAAAGTGCCCAGCTGTTTCAGTAAAATACTAAGCATATTTTAAAACTATATATTTATTGTTTTAAATATGTACTTCCCCCACGAGAAATCAAGCGTGTCACAGACAGAAATTATACCTCATTGCTTCACAGATATGCTGTACGTGGCATCAACCTTCTTCCTGCCAACAACAGAAAAGTGATTAGAGCTCAGACAAAACCAAAAAGGTTCGAACTTTGGCAGAAAATTGTGTGTTCACGTAGGACACAATTGCTCATTCTAAGAAGCTGATTGAGAATATACATTTTCAGGGCACTTGAGAGGTGAACCAGTGCATTGTTGTCATGTCCTTTCATGGGATTTTTTAAGAAAATGATATAAACATGCCAGCCTTTTCTTTTTCTGTCCTTTAGATTCTTTCCTTTGATTCTAAATCACAACACAAGCTAACATTTATTTCCTGCTGTTGTCAGCGTTGGTCAGTCACTCATGGGAATATAAAAGACACTAACTGACAATATGGGCTAAAAATTGCGATGCACATCACCAATAGTCATTTTGTGTTAACAGTATTGAAATGTTTCCAGGTGGAATTTTCCTTTAAGGCCAACATGCCAAACCCAGGCTATCTGCTTGTTGTCATGTCTGCCCCCTACCGTCCCTGGCCTGCCACTCTGATTTCTATTTACTTGGCCTGATCTGAAAGGGCTCTACAGCCGCGCAGTGCAGTGATAACCGTAACCATGACTTCCGCTGAACACGGATAATAGTGACTGTGGATCTGTCAGTCCTTCCTGAACTAGCTAGCAACAGCGAGAGGAGGACAACTTTCCTTTTATAGGCCTTGCACAATCTGCAGGGATGTGCCACTCTCAATAAATTGAGAGGGAATAGCTGCACTGCCCATTTCATTAAGACTGGATACAGCGGAAAATACATCACAGGAGTGAGTGAATTATGCAGCAACAGCTCTAACAATAGATTGAAGAATATTTTCTCCAGACTACATCTGAATTCAACAATCTTTGTTCTTTAACGTGTGCCTAGTATACCAATGGATATGCTCTGAATGTCACGACAGTGTAAGGTCACAGTACTGTACATAATGCGTCAGCGTGTTTTCTCTATTCTATAACCTCTCACACAAGGCAAAGCTAGCATTTTCGGAATCTGCACTCTTGACTGTTTTTATGATCATTAAATACTAAAACTCTTTCAATCTGTCAAACAAATGACCCAGTAGCAACAAGTGTATAGTGCATGTGTGTGCATGTGTGAGAATGGTCATATGGCACAAAGACAAGGCATGATGTGTTAAATGAGGCGTAGCAGCAATGCGTGTTTGTTGTAGTCTGGTCAACCGCTGATTTAAACAGCATCAACCTTAATGATAAATCAAATCAAACTACTTTTTGACAAAGCTCTTTGCGCTATTACAACAGTGTAAACCATACAGTACGTCATAAAAACTGGCTATGCTACACAGAGCACATTGTCTTTCCAAAATGGTATGTAAATGTGAGACTGAAAGAGAGCGGGGATATCCCAAAACAATATCAAATTATCGTAGCAGTCAGGCAAGTGTTTTTCCTCCTCTGCCACATCTGTGCAAAGACATGTTCCGTTAGCCTTCAGAAAGCGTCTAGGTAGTACAAGGTCAGCAGTGGAGGTGAAGATATTGCACACGCAGGCTAACGTCAACAGCTCCATCGAAATGGCACAGCGCAGGTGTCACACTGAAGAATAATGTTTTTTTCTCTCCCTCACATAAATGAACATTGTAAAAAAATTCAAAAACACGCCCCAGTGACGGCTTCTTTATTGCAGCACATTTCCCTTCTTTTTTTCAATATCTCTTTGTCAAGCATCCATTCATTTAAAAAAAAAAAAAGTTGTGAGTCTCTGTTCTTAGTTTGTAAGGAGCGGTCTGAGAGTGCATTTTGGCAGTAAGTAAGGTCTTGTTCATGTTGGGCACGTTGACAGCCAGGAGAGTAGATGGGTCAAACCGGACAGCCATGATTTTTGAGGTCATTAAGAGTCTTGTGCTCTTCTTCTGCCCCACCCTGCCTATTCCTCACCGCCAGTCACGTGACGATCACATGCCGGAGGCACCCAGTCCCATGCTGGCGGTGTGGCTCATACAGGGCAGCGTCTGAACGGTCTTGGGGAAGTCGTGGGTGAGGATTCGTCCGTTCTCTCCGCCGCTCCCGTTGCCACTCATCCTGGTCAGTGTGGAGCAGCGCATGGCGTCGTTGATGGATTGCTGTCAGAAACAAACACATTACAGTTAGTCTGCGCTCCAGATTTCAGTTTTACACACACCCATTAAATCCTAATCAGAACACAGAAAGCTTATGCCACAGTTAAAGCTAGCAGCGCACAGAATTATGTACTTTAAAAGGCCTTTCAACTAAAGAAGAAAAAAGATAAGTCTGCGGAATGTTATGCAATTTCTCTGGTCTGTGTTACATGAATATATGCGCAAAAGCAGCTGTTTATGTCACTCTCTGAATGTGGTGCTGGTACGCCAAGAAATTCAGTAGCAGAAAGAGCTATTAGGAGTCATAGGGTGCTGGTTTTCACTCTCTTTATATGGGCCTGGGTGATATTCGTGGGTGGTAAACCGTGGCGCTGGCCGATGTGCAGCAATGTCCCAATTTGAAACAGGAGGAGCAGAGCAAAGTCGTGGGCAGTAAGAAGGGAGCTGAGGCTTCACTCATTGGTTTAATAGCTCCATTCTCCAGTTTAGCTCAATAAAAGCCACTGGGTTCGAAAGCCGACCTAATGGTGTGTGATGCACGTGTGTGTGGCCGCATCTCCTATTCTATCGCTGATTAAATTGGGCAAAGCAAGTGTACGATCTGGAGCAACCGGTAAGTGCTGCATGGGGATTGGAGAATTACACCGGCCTCTAATTGGAACGACATTGTTGTTTCTTTCAAGCCAAACAGCATAAAGACACCTCTGGACTAATAGGCTCCTCGCCAATCTCATCAGCATACTGATCAGGTGCCTCTTCGTGGGCTGATTAAAACGTAAGTGTGCCAATTGTCTTGGCCTTGCCTTGCTTTTTTTCCCTTTTTATTTTTTTGGGCGGTTTACATGAAGAACATATCAGCGAGGGCTTTGATGTTAGGAGAATTAATTCAAAGGTTGTTTGTTGTAAATCGATCCACAAAGCAGAAGATTAACAGCTACGATACTGCTGCTGTCGGAGGAGAAACCTCACATCTCCCAGTAAAGCAACAAGTCCTTACTTTCAGGTTTCTGAACATACAACATTTGGAGTTATACTGTTCTAGGTTACAGTAGTGATGGAACACATGTGAGCCGCACCAGGACTGCCTTATGATATACATATAAAGGATGTTCACCACAATGGGCCCTGCATTTGCGAGACAGTCAGCAAACAGAGAAGAAGGAGCAGGGGAGAGATTTGCTCAGAGCGACAGAGGTAGATAGATGTACCACTGTGATTCAAATTGCCTTTACACCTGTGCTGCGAAAGGGAAATGTCTTCATTTGTGAATGTGTGCTACAAGATTGCTGTAATGGATGCAGTAATGAGATTGAAGTAGAAGACTGAGAGGAGTAAGCTGAAATAAGGAGTTGATTCTACATTATCCACCAAAAGTACAAAAGTACATATTTATACCAACACATATTCAAAATATGTTGATGTGTAAAAGTGTAAAAAGTAGGTTCTTTTAGTGACATCCAAAGGTGATTTTAAGACAAACTAATGGAAAATGCTATATGCCAACAACGCTGCAATGCTAACACAGGGAAATGACTTTGGTTTGTTATTGTATCAGCTAAAAATGTAAACTTTAGAAGAAGAAACAGGCATAAGGACAATTTTAAAATCAAGTGATTCATCAACACTGCAGGAGATCAGTGACGTAAAGACGTGAGCGGCAGAGGTAGAGAGAGGTACAGGAGAGCGTTTGCACTGCGGTGAAAGCCGTGAGAGGCCCTACTGTGATCACGGTTAGATGGGCAAGGGGGGTGGGGGGTGAGGAGGCGGATGTCATCATCATCATCATCATCATCATCATCATCATGGCTTCATCACAGCGTTTCCTACCCCGTGGCTGCGCTCTGCCCTTATATCTTAACAGTGTTGTTGGCGTACAGGCCGTAGCTCTGCAGCTCTGTGTAGGGGGCGCTAGCACCACTGTCTAAGGCTGAGCAGTGAAAGGCCTGAGCGGCTGAGGCAGCTGCGGCTCGCGCGGTTGACACCTTCATTCGGCGCGACTCGGTCCTGGACTTGTAGCAGAACTCCACCAGTGCCACCAGCATGGCCAGGCCCAGGCCGCCAATCAGGATGTAGAAGACTCCCGCTACATTGCTGAGGCTCAGAGCGCTCGTCTTGTCCTGGAATGAAGAACGTGGTGGGGGTCAGAGCCGAGGGTGAGGAGCAATAACAGACTTTACATTCACAGGAAACAAACAAACACACACGGATTCAGACACATGTACTTATTAGACAAACATCAGTTTCACAAACAGGAATCAAAAGTGCATGTACACAAATATACACAACTCAAACCCACACACACACACACACACACACACACACACACACACAGTACACAGATGAGCCTGACTAATTAGGCACACACAGTCATGTAACGGACATGTATTGTATTTTACAAGACCAGAGGCCTGTACCACGAAGCAGGATTTGAGCTTATCGATGTAACTTCGGGGTTAACTCTGGGTTTTCAGTACCACGATGGTGGTTCACTTCTTACCGGGGTAGATTGCCATGGTAACTCATGCAGAATGGCTAACCTGCTCCGGAGCAGGTTATGTTCCAGAAAAGAGATTATCTTTCTTGGAAAATGACATCTACATCTGTAGGATATCCCACAGACTGTTTGATAGGCTGCTTTATGTTTGCTGCGGTGATGTGGAGAAACTTTTGTAGGCAATAGCGATATCATCCTACAGAGACTGCCTTAGGCTATTGTAGGCCTACAGGTTTTTACAGTAAGCATACTAACTGCTTTGAAATGTGTTTAATATTTTTTATTACGTATATGAACGCTATTTATTTTAGGTTAGTAGCTATCTTGTAGGCTATCACAGACTGGTCATGTACCTCCCCACCTTCTGCGACGTGGGCGTGCAGGTAATGAGGTGAGTTTTCAGCAGCCTAAATTCAGTTTAGATTCAGTCTTTCCACCACTATTTGAGCACATTTCATGGCATGAATGGATTTTTCGGTTCATCGCTTTATGAAGTTAATTTAGAACAATGTTTGGAACACTTTTGAGTGTGTTAAATGAATTAATCTCATTTTTGAAGTGACGAGAAGTTCTTAAAAGTGAGGTGGAATGACCACTTATTCAGTGTCCGAGTCTTTTAATGAGGAAGCGCTGATATTTTTATCCAGCTCATAAGAACGCATCAAATCAACGCATTAGTCTATTGTAGAATATATTCATTTAGGATTTCACACTGTCGGCAATTTTCTGTCTCCCTGCATGTGTCAGCTGCAGCTGTGCTACTTAGACTATGTCATATTTCTGTAGTGTTAGTTTGCTCTTCGTTTGTAAAATATGACGTTCTTATGCCAGTGGACTTGTTCATGTCTGCGATTGGTCATCTGCTGCTAACACCGCCTCTTTGATGTGATTGCGCTCACGGCTGGATTGGGAAACCCTGGGCTGACTTACCGAGTTGATAACCAGCTTCGTGGTACAGCTTATCCCAATCGTAATTGTTAGGATTAGTGAAGCCAGATAACGAAAAGATATCCCGGGTATGTTGAACTCACTTTGTGGTACAGGCCCCAGAGGACAGCATACACACATAAATCCACATACAAACCAAATAGTAACAATAAAATCTATTTTAGAGGCCTGTCTCACAAAGTAGGATTTGATTTGTTAGCTGGATAACTTTTGGATCTAACTCTGGCTTTTCAGTTTCACAAAAATAGCTAGTAACTTATGATGCAGACCCAACCTGGAAGAAGTTTCTCACCAGGCTAAGTACTAAGCAATTGTGTCAACATCCCTACAGGATCCAAGGTGGTAAAGAATAGTGTCATACAAATGTATATGACTTTGCTTTATTGCTCCTAAGATAATTTATTATAACAGAAATATATTTTAGAGATTTTTAGTACAGCTAGTGTTCCTCTCCGGCTATAACCCGGGGCTTCTCACAAAACAGTACTGTGGGTAGTTGGAAAAGCCATTAATAAAATGTACTGCTGCATATTAATTGCATTGAAAGTCTTTCAGTGAGTGGTTAAATGTAGACTGTTGGACTCATATTCCATCAGTGCAGGAACAGAGAATATGAGGCGACTTCATGATGGCACTGTCACATAAATAAGACGTATTCTGACTGCACCCTAATGATGCTCAGTGATCACACTTTTTAATTTAAAAAAAGGAAAAATGTCTGCACTTTGGAAATTAGCTCCCACTGATTTATTCAAGCTGCATTTTGGTCACAGGCCTTTATCAAGTCTTTTTTAATTTAACAAGTCATACTCCTGCTGTGCTCATCTCTGCACCAGAAGCAGCATTAATGAAACAGTTGTTTTCTCTTAAATATATTCACCCTGTCACTCCTACATGTATCTTTAACTTCACTTTGTATTACTTTGTGCTGGCGTGAAAGTGTCAAATGTCCCAGCAAGGCTCAACAGTTTAATCTCTCCTCATATTTAATTCAGTACTCTTTAACTGTAATGTAGTTGGCTGTTTAGCGCCCCACCTCTTGCATGTGCACGCAGTCATAGCTGTGTTAAAGTTAGGTGGTTAGACCAGTTATCCAGATTCACCGGTGCTAGATTAGATTAGTAAAACCACATACAAATTCAAGGAGTGCCAGACTGTATTGGTTTCGCTTTGTGAGATAGGCCCCAGATCTTAAAAATAGACACTCAATTCTTCTGACTTATTTATGCATTTCTAAACAGTATACCTAAATTAACCTTTTGAGTCAAAATGCTCATTCACATGACTTTTCTCAAAATTACATTTCTGTGAGGGAAGAGGTGCAGATAAAGTGCATAAACACTCAACACATGCATCATGCAAGCAACAGCACAAACAAGTCTTTAGTTTGACAGGGCTCTAAATAATGGGTCATTGTTCTTATTCTCTATTACAGAGGTACCTACTTACATTTATGCCTATTTATTGTCTGTAATAAAATGGAATCATTAAGATTAGACTTAAATCAGTCCACCTGAAGGGCTCTCTCAAAATGGGGTCTAATGAGGAATGTTATTTCATTCAAGTCCATTGGAGCAATAGTTTGTGTCACTTGAAGAGATTAATGCCGCATAGAAACCCATAGTTTACTTAGGACAGTTTACAATTTATTATGCCTCTATTTGCATTCGAGCTTACATTTAACTCAGTATATCAGCCCCAGTGACTTTCAGGCATGTATTTGTTCTTTTCAATTAAATATATTGTTTTTAACCTGAAGGGCAAATTTGCATTTGAATATATTTATTTAGGTAAAATGCTGTCTAGATATACCCTGGCATTTAGTAGCATTATGTAATATAAATAAGGTTTTTATACCAGGGCATGTATGTCAAACTATATGCACTGGCAGACCGAGAGTTTGCAGGCTTTTGCTCCCAAACACAGACAACACCAGGTGATTTCAAAGACCAATTCCTTTTCTCTGGCTGACTTTATGTTTAGCCCCTGGAGCTGTATTCACAAAGCTTCCTAGGTCCTGGTGACCAGATTGTTACAAAGGTTTTAGAATAAATGTGTATGTGTATGTCAAAACCTTCTACTTAAAAATACAATTAAAACTAACCAAAGAGAAAAAAAGCTACTAATGAAGTGTCTTAGCTCTTCACACCGCTAATAACTATTTAGAGCAGTAAGCTAGAGTTGTTTTACAGAGCTTGGGAGTTTTTTAAGCAGATGAGAAAATTACTGCAAATAAAAAGCATCACATGCTCAGGTTGTGAGTGCTGCTAAAATATTACAGATATATGAAGCTAAAGCCAGCAGCTTAGGTTAGCATAAAGACTGGGGTAAACGGCTAACAGTTACCACGTAGTACCTCCATTGTTTTATATATACAAAACATTTTTACACTTTTTTAAGAATACACGAGTATTACGAATTTAGTGAGCATTAGAGCTGCTTGTAGGTGGATTTCATTGTGTCATATTGTGAAACATACTAAAGTGTCAAAGTATGAGCAAGTAAAAAGGGAAGAAAGAAAAACCGCAACATGATCAGAAAGCCACTTAGCATTAGAAACACATGCAGGGGTACCTGAGCTAAAGAGAAAAGGCTTCAGGGAGAACGACTACTTGAAACAGCGGATAACATTAAGTGCAAATGCATGCAAGCACAGCGGCAGACGTGGTGTGACTCGGGGTCGATCTAGCAGATTGGCAGGGTTTGCATCCACACATGCACACTCTACAGTGAGAGAGTCTGGGCAGGATTATTTTAAGGGCCAGAATGCAAAGGTTACAGCTCAACATCTTTGAAGGGTTCAACAAAGTCCAACGGCCTAATGTCATCATCTGTCTCTCTCTTCTGTGTTTCTTTTTCCCACTCTTTCTCCTTGGGAAGGAGTTCTATTCTAACAAATAGCTTCAGAGTGAATCATATTTAATCAACAGTACAAACTCAAGGTTATCATCACAATCTATTTCAAGGGGATTTATCCCACATAGATGGTAACTGCATGTATAATAAACTATTGTAACAATCCCAACTAATCCACCAGGGAAATATTTATTTACACGCTGGAAATGAACATTAAATCTCTGACAACACATACTCATCAGTGGGAATAAATAGACACCAGAGTACCAACAAAGTACCAGCCCGAATATAAGACAATGTTTCTTACGTGAAGCTGTGTCATATTAGAAGACTAGATATTTGTTTGCGTTCACAACAGCAGAAAGTCTCTTTGAAACACAGCCTGTGCATTACACAATGGTTACTTTAAGAGTAAGCTACATTATATTAAGCTAGCTTGTGTTAGTGTTGCTGGGCAAGCTATTTATTTTAATTATCCCTCAGTATATAAATGCTAGCACCAAGCTATGTAACTTTTGAAAGAAATAAAAACACATTGGTCCTATTGTCAATCAAAAGTAGTTGAAATCATAAGCAATAAAGATTACTTGATCTGGTATGACCAGAAGCTTTTGGTGGCTTCATGACCCATCTCTGTTTGCACAACTGTAATACTACGCTTTAGCCTTTCAATTGACACTTGTGGCCACAGTGGCTGCTGTTCAGCAAAAGTTACATAGTCACCCATGGATTTGATTTTCTGCTTCCTCACGTTAATGTTAATGTAGAAACTGATATTGTTGGGTGTAGTCATTTTTAAAAAAAAAACATGTTTTCTGCTGATAGTTTGAAAAGTGTTCAACATTCATTCTCAGTAGTAGGAGTTTTAACAGCAGTAGAAACTGTAGTAGTGATAGTAGCAATATAGCTTAACTATGTTTACTTTACTGTGTCAATCATAGTATCAGCAGTGATAGAGTATCATCAGGAGGAAGTCGTGTCAATTCTATTTGATAATTGCAATTCAATTATTTAAAAAATGGTTTTAATAATTTACTGTAGCTTTATTAAATGTTATAACATATACTAATATATTAGCATTTTAAATATGTTAAACATACTGTATCTGCATACATGTAGTATTCTGATTTTTAAAAGTCTTTATCCAAAAACAGGAGTTGCACAATGTGGGGTCGTCCTATATTCGGGCCAGTACAGTAGTACTGCTAGAGCCACATTGGGAGTGTTGCTCAGTGTTATAGAGGATGAGGGCTGGACTTGGGGCTGGTCTAGGATCAGGGCAGGGTTGTGCTGGGAGGTGCTGTGAGGTGACAGTTTTGGGTTGGAGACTAACCTTTCTTGCGGAGTCCTTGCTGCCACACTCCCCTTTATCGTACCACCATTTGTTTTTCAGTTTGTCTAAGACGGCTTGCTCACTGAGTTTCAACACCGCTAGGTTTACTGGGATTCTTCCAACCATAAGGAAATAACATAAATAACATATTATACCATGTTATTTTATGTTATTAATTCAGAGACACAGAGCAGCAAATACATACACACATTAATGCTTGGGCTTGCTTATAGGTTAAAAAAATAAACTGAAATAAAAAATGTATCACATACACCTTACACATGCACACACACACACACGCACGCGCACACACACACACACACACACACACACACACACACACACATATATATTGCATAAACATCATTAAAAACATCAGAGTCAAAGTGATATGCATTAATACTCCATCTAGCTTGGTTGACTTGCCCTGTAAGGCAGTAGATGTGTATTACTATATCACTTTGGGCAACCGGCACACTGCTTACCCTCACCTATGCAACACAGATGTCTTAACTGTATCTTTTTTTATCTAAAGTAAATTGCCAAAGTTCTAAAATGGAACAAACTCTAATGAATGCAATTTTAAAATTTCATTGACCACGAGGGGCCCAGCTGGTTTAATTACAACACATTGATCAATTTTAAATCAGTCTTGTTCATTTTGTTTGAGCAGGGAAGGTGATGCAAAATTTCCCCCTCTGTGATTTTCAAATTCAGACATCGCACACCGAATAATCACCCCCCCTCTTGGCACTTTTCCTTTGCTCTTCGCCACACCACGGAGAGATTAAGTGTTGCTAGAGTGGTAGTGCAGCGTAGGCCTGCCGGTTACCCCCTCTCCCTCCCCACCCCCACTCCCAGTGGTGGTGGGTTAGCCGCAGGGTTTATCAAACTGGCTCTGACCTTGGAGTCCCCGCCCCCGCTGCCGCACTCTCCCTTGTCGTACCACCACTTGTTTTTCAATTTGTCCAAGAGGCCCTGCTCGTTCAGTTTTAACACTGCCAGGTTTACTGGGTTTCTTGAAAATAATATAAAACGGCAGCCATTAGGAGACACTATATGGGACAGATATAAAGAGATTGGTCGCATGGTGGTGGTGATTATGACAACATTGACTTATGATTACAAACTCCTGCATGTAACTACTGATATGGAGCAGGAGAACTGGCTTTAGATGCACATGTTAGTTGTATATCTGCAATGGGCTGAAATGCTGGGCGCCCATAAAGTAGCAGAGTCAGGTTTTACCAAGCAGGGGCCTCAGAAGGAGGCAGAGCAGACACTATAAATGAGAAATGCCTTGGATGCGGAAGTCTGTCTACAGATGGTAATTTCCTTTCAGTGGCACTAGCATACAGATTGCTATGGTAACTAACCTATCAATATTCAACCCATAACAGCATTCTGGTGAATAGAATCCTGTGTTGATGAATTTATAACTTTCAGCTGAGACAAATGCAGACAGAGGCTTTGAATGTTTAAACTGTCAGGTTCATTTCCAGGCTGAAAGGAAACCGTGTGACCAACTATAGACATAGATTATGTTATGACATGAATCTGTATAAACCAGCTCATCCAAAGCATCTCCCAAGACTTGCTCTCTCTTTCTGGTGAGTGTATTTGTATTTCCTATAGCTGACTGGCCATGGACAAAGACTCTCTCCATCTACAAATCACAGAAAGGCAGAATCTGCAATCAGAATTTGCATAAAAGAGGTCAAGATTACAACTTTTACCTGATTGTCTTTTCCCTCAAATCTGTGTCAATTCTTTATGTGCAGCAACAGTTTAGTTTGGCAATATTCTGCCTGTCTCACTAGCAGACGCACAAGAGTCTTTATCCCCAACCTTGAGTGCACAACACAGCTGTAGGCAACACAGGTATCCTCAGAGCTTGTAAAACCTCTGAATTCTTTCTCAGTCCAGTGGGCTCAGACAGAAAGAAAGAAGTCAAACTGTGTGGACATGGATGGTCTGCAGACCTGCAGGTCATTGGTTAGTTTGGTCAGTTGGTTCGAGGTGAGCAGATGTCAGGCAGGCTACTGTACTGTATGTTAGGTGGGATGGGGTAAATAGTCAGGCAGGCACGGGGGTGGCTGGATATCATAGATGTAGGAAATGAAGCAGGGAGCACAGAATCTATACAGAACATTTCACAGACTGATCACAAAGTGTAGTTGTGAAGTGTGTGAAGACCGGCAGTCAGAACACCCTGTGAAATGAAGAGATTATTATCTTTTTTTTTGCTACTTACAATTAGGTCTGCAATGCAATATGAATATAACATTTTAAATCTATTTTCATATATCCAGTAGGGATGTTCAGATCTGGCGAATTGGTATCGTCCCTGCTACTGACCTTAGTAAGCACATCTGGTATCACATTAAATACTTAAACATTTCATATTCTGCTCCGTTAACTTGCTGCAGCGAGCTAATTTTAATGCGTTAAGCTAATGCTGTTACTCTCCACATATGAAGCACAATAAATGTATTTTAACGTGAACACAGTGGTCGGCATTTACTGGGAATATGGAAGTTTAACTGGAAGTGAATTTAATTTCCAGTAACCAAAAAATTATATAATACAGTTTACACAGTACATTTTCTGATTTTATTTGTTGTTGGGACAAAGCAACATTTGTGCTGTTTGTTAGGTCTATATCTGTACACATCACAAGTAATCCTATTTTAAGAACCTTGCATGTTACACTTGCACATCTGAAAAGATGAGCCTGATGGTGTGTCTGTGTTCATTTCAGAATATAACATTAGTGCCTATGTGAGGCATGCTAACGTGCTACAATGACAATGCTAACATCCTGGAAATATCCAGGTATACTGTTTACCATGTCCCAAATCATAGTTTAGTGTGTCGGCATGCTAACATTTGCTAATTAGCAATAAACACAAAGTACAGATGAGGCTGATGGTAATTTTGCAGGTATGTGGTCATAAACCAAAATACTGGACAAAGTAGAATTTTGACCTGATGAAAAATAAGGAGTTCATTCCGTCCTGAGGGGAACATGAATGTCTGTACAAAATTTAGAGATATTTTACAGGAAACAGAACTCTGACATGCTGGTGACGCTAGAGGAAAGATCGGTGGATGACCAAAGTCAGTAGGTTGACACATTATAACAACACAATCTCATAAAACTGTGTACCGTGTAAATATGCACAGTTCTAAAACCAATGTGTAAAGTGTATAAACTTCTCCACAGCCTCATTACATACTGTAAGAATGTTTCCAATGAGCTCGATGCAGCAAGGAAACTTTTTAAATTTTGAAAACAGCTAGAGCACTGGTACCAGATATGTACTTCGCATCAGAGATACTCTTGAGTTTATGTGTTGCATTTGGAATAGAGAGAGAAAAAGTCGAATCAGTGTATCCCTAATATTCAGTACTCAAGTGCAAAATGCAAATCAGTGCTTCAACAATGCATTGCAGGCATGATTGAACTCACCTCTTTGAGTTCTTTGGGCATTCACTGATGCCTGATTCCAGATGAGCAGCACAATTAGTCAATTTCTACATCAACCATAAAAATATTTGAAAATTTCCATCCTTCAATACAACACTTGCAGAATGCTCGTTATCTGTTAATGAAGAGCTCGGTATCAGACATCTGTAAAGGTCCAGAGTGGCACTCTGAGAATAACATACATCACTCTTTTAATAAATAACAGAAATAGCGAGAGAAAATGGTGCCATCCTCAGCTGTTCAGCACTGCATCCCAAACACTGTAGGTTAGGACCAGTCTGACTGCATGACCTGGGAGCCGATTCATTTCACCAATCTTCTTGTCACTGCTACAGCACTTACTTGCTAAATGAAATGTAATTTGCATGAAATTTAAATGGATCCTCTGAGTAAGACATGAGCAACATTTCTAGTCAGTGTGTTCTGACCTTTGGCTGTCAACCAAGGTGGAACCCCAAATGAATCCTCAGCAAGTTTGAATGAAATCTCCCCATATGGCTCTTTTCATTAAAATGAATGAGGCCTATTAGAGATAGATTAAAAGCTTCAGATGCCACCAGCTCCTGCGCTCTCTCTGTAGTTGCAAGAGAAATATTAATGGAAAGTTGGTTAAGGTGTTAATGTAATGTGAAAAGACAGCTGTTGCTCTTGGACATCGATGGCAGAAAAGTACATCCAGTGTGGATAATCATTCATTAAACCAATTATCACATTGAATGTGGCAAATATAAATTCAACTCTGCTGACTTCACAATCAAGGTGTGAGCCCTGGCAGAAGTGGAAAAGTAGCCATATGGGATGTGGTCCTTTAAGCTGTAATCCTGCTTCAAGGGCCCCTGTTGGTTAGCGAGAGGCACATTTACATGTTGTATGTGTGTTTCTGTGTGTTTGAGAGGATGCTTCAGTTTCAAAGCACACCACATGAGACCAGCAACCACAAATTTAGAATGTAATTAGAGGGCAGCAGGAAGACAAGTGTGCTTAAAGAGGATCGGAAATCTAATGGTCGTACTTTACACTTCTGCTAGTTCTCCCAAGTCAGCTATGAATAGGCTAGCTGCATACATACATATGCAGACATCAACAAAGGTGGCAGTGAGCGGTGAAAATGGGCATGGTCAAGTTGTAAATGTCTTTGTGACAGTGCACAAAGCATGGAGAAAAGAAGGAAAAAGTTTAATGAAGTACTGTTAAAGTAATGCCATGCCTTGTATGTCTGATTAGCATGCGTTCAAAGAATGTAGAACAGAATACTAATACTGAGATGTTGTGTTATTGTGATAAAAAAAAGATGCATCATTGAAATGCATGACATTTCACAAAAAAAAAAGAGAAATGAAACAAATAAACAGGGGACTGATGATGCTCATGCACATGCTCCAATAAAAGCACTTGGAGGCTTTTATCCAGCCATGCTGCGGTGACAGGGTGGCTTACCTGAGAGGGGAGCCCTTGGGTGTGGCAATGCCATAACCTTTAGAGTCCAGGTTTCCTCCCACCTTCATAGTATCACACGGTTTCCTCTGCTCTATATACTCATTCATTGTGGACTCCAGCAAGTAGGCATACTTGCCCTTGGACTTCCTGACTCTCATTACGCCCTCGTCTGTGGTCTTGACAAACACGGATGGGTCAGCCGCCTTCATGTAGGACCACATCTTCTCAAACACAGCAATCTTAGACCTCTGACAGCCAGAATTGTTAATGAGAGAGAAGAAAGCGAAACAGACAGTGTAAGAGTGATTACTTTATTATCTATCTTTATGTACAATGTACACAATGTACAATTCTACATCTAATTTATTGAAGCATCTGCTAGAGATGCTTGAACTCCAGAGAGAGTGGCGTTAAGCAACGTTTTACGTTTTGTAAAAGCACTTTTTACTGCTCTTTTTAATGCATGTGCAGAAAAACAGTAGTTTAATAGTCGGGATTGACTGGCTTTATTTTTTTTTATTTCAGCCTTAGGCATTTTTTGTAAAAAAAAAAAAAGATGATACTCCTTGCTGCTACTATGAATATCATTAAAAAGTTGGGAGAGACTGCTTTGTTGGGGGGGTTTGTGAAAGAAATACAGTAACGTAACCAGTTACTTTCATCACCCAGTAACAAGTAAAGTAATATTATTACTTTTTCTAAATAGTAGTAACTTATTACAATTTATGAGTAACTTGCCCAACACTTCTATTTACAATATTTTTTAATCAAAGCCATTTAATGTTGTTTCATTTTGTAGCTAGCTGTTTCTATAGCACTTTTCACTTTGGGGATGGAGTCCGCCATTCCCAAACTGGATTCAACACACATGGGATTTAAAGGAAGTGATGCATGCATGTAATCCAGCATTACTGCTTGTAAAATGATCTCACTGATATCATCCTCACTGTTTACTATTATATCTATAACGTTTTAACAGAGCTAGATTACGTTAGTGATAATGCAAACCCAACATTTCCTGCTGCTTCACATTAAAAGCCTTCAGCTGGTGAAACAGCGGGGTTTTACAGTGTAGCAATGTGTTTGTTGTCTGAATCTCGGTTTCTCACTCTGAAGAATTCTTTGGTGGAGCCGGCATCCAGTGTTCCATAGGCAATTTCTGTCTGCTTGGCTAAATCCTCAGCGCTCTCTATAGGAGACACCATCCTCTCCACCGTCAGGAAGGCAGCCAAGTTAGCAGTATAGGATGAGATGATGATGAGGGTGAAGAACCACCAGACGCCTCCAACAATGCGGCCAGACAGAGAGCTAAAAAGCAGAAGGACAGGATCTTTCGTTGGTCAAAAACAGATATATCACACATACAGTTTCCAGCTCATGTATATGTTCAATTCATGATTGTTGATTCCATGTTTCATTTTTACAAACAGAATCAATTATATGTTAATGTAGGGATTAACACAAATAAATAGCATCATTCTTTTTCTTCTTGGACAATTCTGGCCACAATCAAGTACAGCGATCTAAAAACCTTGTGATGTTCACACCATCCAAATGACCTACATTGCATCACACTCCCTCTACGCTCACACACTCTTCGTTCCCGCTTGGGAGAGCTTAGCCCAATGTGCTAAGGAAAGATAACCAGTTCCACAAAGGCCCACTCAGCTTCCTGCCTGCCAAATTAATCTCACTTTAAGAAAGTTGCCAATATGTTTCATGGAACCACGCATATTAATTGTTGGGGATTAATAGGCAAAGGAGAACACTTAGCCACTGCTCTAATTGCACTTTAAAAAAAAAAAACACAAAAAAAAAACCCTGAATGATTTGTGAGCAAAATCCCAGGAGTCAAATTCCTGTCTCTCTCTCTCTCTTTCTCAGTGTGTCTCTTCACCTCAAGAGAAGCCAGCTTGAACAGCAACAGCAGAAATCATGTTGCGTTACATATCGGGTCCCCGACAAGCACGGAAGCACAGAGCGACGGAGCTTACGCAAAGAAAATGACACAAATCTGAAACAAAAAAGGCTTTCATGAATCACCTTTGTGCTGTCAAGCCAAATGGAGCGTGAAACATGAAGGCGAGATTAAGTATGAAAAAAAGGGGGGGGGGGGTAGAAACATAATCATTTAAGATGCTTTTCAGATGACGGGGGATGATGAAAGAGCAGCCGGGGAGCGAGTGGAGAGCAAACACAGAATGGATGCCGAGCCTTTGAAAATCAGTTGGGAGAATGCAGAGCTGTCAGCAGGGTGTGTGTGTGAGTGTGTGTGTGTGTGTGCATTTTGACTTTTTCACTGATCACTGTTCAAAAGGGTGTGGGTAAGGTTAAGCCTTTTTCTGTGCAGTAAGAAAACCAGCATGCTTTTCTAAATACGTTGGTGCACTTTTAGTACTGCAGCACATAATTCACAAGCAAGTGGTTGATTCTGCTGCGTCAAAACTCTCCATTTTAGCTCTGTACAGCTAATAGAACTAAAACATTTTCCACACTGATGATCACTCACGGCTGTACAACATCCCCTCTGACCTTCATTAGGTAAAATTCATACAGGCAAAGAGCCCTGTTATCATATATATTTGTGTAAAGATGGCCCAAATAATTGTACCCCCATTCTGAGCTCTTCAACAGAAGAACAGTTTAGAAATGTCAATAGATAAACTACATACATATCAACCCACAGATTAATTCCATATGCAGGGATTAATCAAATAGACACTAATACCATAGAAAATACAGGGTCAAAGATTGAACCAAACAGCTACCTATGATCCAATGGGGAATTGAAATATCCAAGGATGGATCTACTGTATCAATACTAGGACTGGGTATCTGTACTCGAATCCCTCAAGGTATCAACCGATACCGAGTAGTATCAAATCTTCTGCTGTCACTGCTGCCAGTTTATCGTCACAAGCTTGGCTTTCTGTTTGTTTCTTCGGATATCCTTTGACACTAAAACTGTACTACTCTACATTTTTATTTGCAACTGACAACACTTCGATCAACAACCGATCGATCAGTGCGTTCCATCGTATCAATTCAACGCTTTTGTGGCGCAGCCGCGCGTCAGCTGACTTTACTCTAGTAGCCTCCAGCTGCTTGTATTAGATGTAGTTGATGTGCTCGACTGGATGTGCTGGCTTTCTTTTCCTTTCCTTGCTTCTTTAAAGTCTTTAGTGTAATTTAGTAATTTGTTTAAGATGACTCTATTTCTACGTGTTATTGTCGGCCATTTGGAGGTTTGTGACTCACCACTAACGACAAAAGCACCTGCAGAGATCTTTAAATTCTGTTCTTCTAGATTTATTGATCCCAAGTTTACAAATATTATTCTCCGTGGTTGACTTTTAAAAAAAATATCTAAAAACTTAACTTATATTCCTTTTCCACAACTCACAGTGGTCATTAAACTAGTTCACTAGTCCATAACAACAATAAAAATGGCTTCAACAGGTGGCATTTTACGCAAGGTATGGAATGAAGCACTGTAGTATCATTTTAAGGGTGCTAGTTTTGGTACTGATATCATTTAATTTTAAACAATACTCTAATCAATATCCTACAATAGAACATTTTAAAAACATGTTATCAAGCTTGCTAAAAAGATTAAAAGTTTAATTAATATTATGAGAATAGTTGCTATTAGTATAGGTAAAAAAAATCAATATAGTCAACAAGATATTCAATGAACATATTAATCATTATTAGAGCTGTAGCTAACAATTATTTCCATTGTCAATTAATCTGCTTGTTATGTTCTCATTTAACCGATTAATCATCTATAAAATGTCAGAAGGAAATGAAACGGCAGATATTAATTTCCCAGTACCAAGGTGATATCTTCAGATCGCTTGTTTTCCCCGACCAACAGTCCTGCAGTTTTACTATCATACATGACAAAGACCAGCAGCAAATTCTCACATTTGAGCTGCTTTAATCAGCGATTTGGGTGTAAGTTAGTAGTAATAGTTGCCTATTAATTTTTGTGGAGGAGAAGATCCAACTTATCAACCAGATGAGGGGGGGCTAGCCTACAACAACATAAGAAAAAAAGAATTATCATCTCGCCTGGCACGATATCACAGCATCACACTGAGAGGTGCTAATTGAGACCTTTTGGCTTGTGCGTAACTCAAGAATCCTGATTGCTCCCCGTCTTTTCAGGAGCAATGTGAATTTCACCTGGAGAAGATATGAGTACTGAAAGACGGTCCTGGAGACTTTCTAAGTGCAACAACTTTGCATTTTCACAATCTCTCAATACTATACGTGTTTACATTGCTTCTCAATTACAGTCCACTTGTGTAGAGTTCTGTGAGTAGAGAAACAAAGTGACAAACAAAGAACTACTCTAGGATTGGGGTGAAAAAAGAGAAAGTGTGTTATGGCAACACCAGTGCAAGTGAGAGAGAGGGAGACAGAGAGAGAGAAATGGCAGCGATGAAAAGTGAAAGTGGATAGTACCACCAGAGGCTGACAAACTCCTTAGCTTTGACTGCTGCTGGCCTCCAGAGATGGCAGTAAACAGCTGTCTAATCCTTCTCCTTCAATCGTCCTTTTCCCCCCCCTCTCCCTCGCTCTCTCTCCTGTTCTCCGCCTCTCTTTTTTTTTTCTTTCCCCTCCATCCACCCTATGTCTCCGCTGTGCTCCCCGCCTGTCTCTTCATGCGCTGGGGGGGCTGACAGGGGCTTGTTTTGGGCCAAGACAACAATAGCCTACACCTTGGCGCTGACACTGACGCATTCAAGTATGCGCACACTCACACACACACACATAGATACAAATGTGGATACTTCTTCTTTCCAGAAGACAGTGTGTGAGTTTGTCTGTGCAAGAGAACAACCGGGTCACCATTTGCTGTGTGAATGGGATGAGGAGAAAGACAGGGGCTTTGTATGTGTGTGTGTGGGTGTGTATTGGTTCTCCTGCAGCAATCCTCCTCCCTAGTTGAGCAGAGTGACTGGCAAACACAGACCTGTTTGTCTCTGTTTGTTTCCTTTTGAACTCACTTCCTTTGAGCCTCCTTTCCGCTCCTCATACATTATTGCACAGCAGCCAACCTCGGTGCCTCCGTAAAACATTTGCTAAGCTGTCTTATTACAGTAAGGGAAATATTCCGAGTAGCGCTGCAATTTCATAGTCGTGTTAAGGCAATGATTAATCAATTATTCAGGCTGCCTCTTTTTATTGCATTATGAAAAAAAGGGATAGTAATAGGAGCATCCAAAGCACAACTGTAGCTTAGCAGCAGTGACGTATACCGAATGTCATAGAACTGTGGATGCTAAAAAGGAGGGCTGAAATTATTATGGCATTTAACAAGTTATATACCAAAGAATAACCAGCTAAAGCTTCTAACGATCTGTTGTTTTTCCTCTTTTTCTATCATAATAGAATTCCCTCTAGGCTCTGGGGACGTGTAATAGGACTTTTCATAAAACAAATACTGGAGTGATTAATCAAAAAATAATCAGTTGTTTAATGGATTATGAAATAGAAGTTTACAGTAGGGTTTTTTGTTGGATAGCATTTGAATCCAGTACCAAATCCACATATCAAATTACACTTTTAAATCCCTTATTGAATCCATTTGTTGTGCATTATGTTTACCTAATTAATTTCATGCAACACAAGATAAAAATAATTACATAAGATGTGGAACTCAAAGAGTTACAATCAAAGAAGTGTTTTGGACACTGTTTTAGAAAAGAGAGATCGACCTTGAACCTGCAAAGAAGCAACACTGACATAACGTCACATCATAAACTTGATGTGGGCGCAAGTGTTAGCAACTGCTTATTTACACATCTAGCAAATACGAAGCAATGGCGCCACCCTGGATGTAAGGGCATACTCACACTAGGCCCGGTTGCCTTGTACCATGCTCGAGCATGATTGTGCCCCCTCCCCACTCCCCCGCTGGACTGCGCTCACATTGCGCCTAACTATCCGAGTCAGAGCACGTTTATGTCATTACGAGTTCCGTGGGGACAGTTAGCAATCACACTACATGTATACAGTCCAGCTTAACCACGGAGTGATCACACTGGTCAAACAAACCGGACTTTGGGGGTTAAATGTGCTTAGGCACGGTACGGGTTGCCTAGTGTACGCCCTAAGTTTCACCCCGTCTTCTGGCTCTGTTTTTGGTCTCCACCAACTCCTGCTAAATGCGTCCCTATGTTCACCGGCTAGTCGCTAACTTCATCTGTTGGCCGCTTGGTGCTGGGCAGGTAGTGTACAGTTGGTTTATCAATTTCACTATGAGGGGTGAAACGAGCGCTATGAAAGAAAAAAACAGG